CAGGCACGGTACACTACTGAAGCAGGCCATCACCACACCTGCAGGCACGGTACACTACTGAAGCAGGCCATCACCACACCTGCAGGCACGGTACACTACTGAAGCAGGCCATCAGCACACCTGCAGGCACGGTACAATACTGAAGCAGGCCATCAGCACACCTGCAGGCACGGTACACTACTGAAGCAGGCCATCAGCACACCTGCAGGCACGGTACACTACTGAAGCAGGCCATCACCACACCTGCAGGCACGGTACAATACTGAAGCAGGCCATCAGCACACCTGCAGGCACGGTACAATACTGAAGCAGGCCATCAGCACACCTGCAGGCACGGTGAAGCAGGCCATCAGCACACCTGCAGGCACGGTACAATACTGAAGCAGGCCATCACCACACCTGCAGGCACGGTACACTACTGAAGCAGGCCATCAGCACACCTGCAGGCACGGTACAATACTGAAGCAGGCCATCAGCACACCTGCAGGCACGGTACACTACTGAAGCAGGCCATCACCGCACCTGCAGGCACGGTACAATACTGAAGCAGGCCATCAGCACACCTGCAGGCACGGTACACTACTGAAGCAGGCCATCACCGCACCTGCAGGCACGGTACACTACTGAAGCAGGCCATCAGCACACCTGCAGGCACGGTACACTACTGAAGCAGGCCATCAGCACACCTGCAGGCACGGTACAATACTGAAGCAGGCCATCAGCACACCTGCAGGCACGGTACACTACTGAAGCAGGCCATCAGCACACCTGCAGGCACGGTACACTACTGAAGCAAGCCATCACCACACCTGCAGGCACGGTACACTACTGAAGCAAGCCATCACCACACCTGCAGGCACGGTACACTACTGAAGCAAGCCATCACCACACCTGCAGGCAGGATACAACACACGGGCTTACATCCACCACCACTCCGGTATATACAATAACATAACTATGTAGATATAGCACCTAAGTTTACAACACCTACACTCTAAATATACGGGGAATTAACACCACACCATTTGATAAGGCGTACCACAGAGTGCGCGCCCTTCAAGGTGTACCTTGGAGTGCGCGCCCCTCAAGGTGTACGGTGGAGTGCGCGTCCCTCAAGGTGTACCTTGGAGTGCGCGTCCCTCAAGGTGTACCGTGTATAGTGCGCCCCCTCAAGGTGTACCGGGGAGAGCGCGCTCTTCAAGGTGTACCGTGGAGTGCGCCCCTCAAGGTGTACCGTGGAGTGCGCCCTTCAAGGTGTACCGTGTATAGTGCGCGCTCAAGGTGTACCGTGGAGTGCGCCCCTCAAGGTGTACCGTGGAGTGCGCCCTTCAAGGTGTACCGTGTATAGTGCGCGCTCAAGGTGTACCGTGGAGTGCGCGTCCCTCAAGGTGTACGGTGGAGTGCGCGTCCCTCAAGGTGTACCTTGGAGTGCGCGTCCCTCAAAGTGTACCGTGTATAGTGCGCCCCCTCAAGGTGTACCGTGGAGAGTGCGCCCCCTCAAGGTGTACCGGGGAGAGTGCGCCCCTCAAGGTGTACCGTGTAGAGTGCGCCCCTCAAGGTGTACCGTGGAGAGTGCGCGTCCCTCAAAGTGTACCGTGTATAGTGCGCCCTCAAGGTGTACCGTGTAGAGTGCGCCCCTCAAGGTGTACCGTGTAGAGTGCGCCCCTCAAGGTGTACCGTGGAGAGTGCGCCCCTCAAGGTGTACCGTGGAGAGTGCGCCCCTCAAGGTGTACCGTGGAGAGTGCGCCCCTCAAGGTGTACCGTGGAGAGTGCGCCCCTCAAGGTGTACCGTGTAGAGTGCGCCCCTCAAGGTGTACCGTGGAGAGTGCGCCCCTCAAGGTGTACCGTGGAGAGTGCGCCCCCTCAAGGTGTACCGTGTATAGTGCGCCCCTCAAGGTGTACCGTGTAGAGTGCGCCCCTCAAGGTGTACCGTGTAGAGTGCGCCCCCTCAAGGTGTACCGTGGAGAGTGCGCCCCTCAAGGTGTACCGGGGAGAGTGCGCCCCTCAAGGTGTACCGTGGAGAGTGCGCCCCTCAAGGTGTACCGTGGAGAGTGCGCCCCTCAAGGTGTACCGTGGAGAGTGCGCCCCCTCAAGGTGTACCGGGGAGAGTGCGCCCCCTCAAGGTGTACCGGGGAGTGCGCGCCCCTCAAGGTGTACCGGGGAGAGTGCGCCCCCTCAAGGTGTACCGTGGAGAGTGCGCCCCCTCAAGGTGTACCGGGGAGAGTGCGCCCCTTCTCTGCTGTGGACGTCAATTCATGTTCACCGCGCCATGGTGGCATTTAGCAGTGCCTTTGAGAAGTGCGTGTATACATCAAGGTTATGTCATAGTGGAATTATAACAGGCTCAAAATCTGTTGACCTGGGTTGAGCAGTTAATTGTTCTCCATTAATCTGGAGATGTTACTTTCTGTTACTTTTAAAAACTTTACAATCTGTGATATTTGGACGACAAATCTATACTTTGTTTTGTTGTTTTAAATGCTCTGCTACCTTTGTAGTGGATGCTGCTACAGCTGGTAATGTATGCGCTTTTTGTATCTCCTCAGCACCCAAGATTTCTCAGGTCCCCCCGTGGTCCCATAGACACAGTCCCCCCGTGGTCCCCCTTGACCCTGTGGTCACTCCGGTAGTCAATGGTCCCATCGACAAAGATAGACTTAAGAGGGTTCCCCGCTCATCTTCTCTATTTAGACAAATACCTCGACACGACCAGTTAAAATGTTATAATTTATACTTTAACCAATTCATCTATTAAGTGTCACCCACACTTCCCTGGAAATAAACATTCCATTCACCTGGACTCTAGGAGACTCGAACCGCGGACCCCAATCATGTGAGGGCAAATCGTCAATAGAGCTTCGGCCTCACATGCGTGGGTCCGCGGTTCGAATCTCCTAGAGTGAATGGAAATTCATCTATAGTTTACTCCAATACATTATCTCATAAAACACACACACACATTATATATATATATATATATATATATATATATATATATATATATATATATATATATATATATATATATATATATATATATATATATATATATATGCAAGAATAATCATAATCACAACAAAACCCGTGATCTGGTTATGTGTAGCGAAGTATCCAAAATTTGCTTATTGTAGGTGCAACCTGTACACGAGTGTAAAGCTGCCGCCCAGTTGGCTGGGTGTGGAGCCCATCTAGTAACAGTGTGACTCACCATAAATGTTAAGTGCCTTGTATAGTGGCTGTTGTGAGCCTCTTGTTGAATCACTTGTGATACAAAACACTATGTGTGTATTTGTGTAGGTGATATATATATATTATATTATATATATAATATATATAATATATATATATATATATATATATATATATATATATATATATATATATATATATATATATATATATATATATGCATGTATGTATGAGTATGTGTATATGTATATATAACAGTAATAATTGTGTAACTAGCGTCAAAAGATTGTTATAGGCTTAGCTAAACGAACTAGAGGGTTCAGTTCCTGAACTGATTTTGTGCCTCTGTAACCCGTTACACCAGCGCCCGCGGGATGGGTATGGGGTGCATAATAGAGAAAAATTGAATTGAATTTTACGTATCCACGAGGCAAATGAAACGAGAATTCCGAACGTTTTCGTCTGTAACATTATCATAGCAATAGGGGAAATTCCTGTAATTCCTTGATAATGTTGTGAAAACACAACAACGTTTGGAACTCTCGTTTCATTTGCCTAGTATATCCCTACACATAACCAAATCACGTGTTTTTTGTGATTATTCTTGCATATATATATATATATATATATATATATATATATATATATATATATATATATATATATATATATATATATATATATATGTCGTACCTAGTAGCCAGAACTCACTTTTCAGCCTACAATGCAAGGCCCGATTTGCCTAATAAGCCAAGTTTTCATGAATTAATATATTTTCTCTAATATTTTTCTTATGAAATGATAAAGCAACCCATTTCATTATGTAAGAGGTCAATTTTTTTTATTGGAGTTAAAATTAACGTAGATATATGACCGAACCTAACCAACCCTACCTAACCTAACCTAACCTATCTTTATAGGTTAGGTTAGGTTAGGTAGCCGAAAAAGTTAGGTTAGGTTAGGTTAGGTAGGTTAGGTAGTCGAAAAGCAATTAATTCATAAAAACTTGGCTTATTAGGCAAAACGGGCCTTGCATAGTAGGCTCGGAAATATATATATATATATATATATATATATATATATATATATATATATATATATATATATATATATAATATATATATATATATTAATGTCAGACCACGGAGGAAAAATGAAACAGGAATTTCCTTAAGTACTTTCGTATATTAAATACATCTTCAGAAGGTGAAGATGTGAAGGTGAAGATTGACCTTCTGAAGATGTATTTAATATACGAAAGTACTTAAGGAAATTCCTGTTTCATTTTTCCTCCGTGGTCTGACATTGTCACAATCTTAATCACGTGTTTATTTTCGTGATATACACACACACACATATATATATATATATATATATATATATATATATATATATATATATATATATATATATATATATATATATATATATATATACTATATATCACTATATATATATATATATATATATATATACACACACACACACACATATATACATATATGTAAATCAAATCAAACGAGACAAAGGTGAAGACATGTACAGTCACTTTGAAAGTTTGGTAGTCACCGTGAATGCAAAAGTTGTTGTGATTGAGGCATTGTTGTGAACACTGTAACACTTGACACCACGAGTTGAGGCAGTAGAGTTCACCGTGCCGCCACCGTGACACGTACACACACGGTGCGGCGTGTGGTGGACCTCGTGTGGGCCGCCACACACACACACACACACACACACACACACACACACACACACACACACACACACACACACACACACACACACACACACAACAAGTGGTTCCTTACACAAGACACGAGGAGCGCGCGCTAGCACCACGACCACCAACATAATAGTCACACGTGAGCACTCGCCATCACCTCACCGCCAGGGTCTCCGTCACCACAAGGCATCCTGCCCCTGGCCACCTTCCCGCACACAACAGCGGACACTTCCACCTTTACAGTTCTCCACTCCTGTAACGGAACGTGTCACTTGCAATCAAACGTCACCAGCCACAGATGTACTTTTGCAGCAGCACTCGAGGTTTAAGTGGTAGTTGAAGTGATGGTTGCACTTGAGCAGTTGGGGGGGGGGGGGGGGGGCGAGGAGAGTGCAGGGTCCTGCCACCAGTGTCGCCGCAGTGAACTGTCTCTAGGACGCTGCCAGCAGCATCTTGCAGTGCCGTCACAACAATCTTGCTAGGGGAGAGTGCCAGGAGTCGCAGTGCCACCCCACCCAGCTAAGGCTTGGGCGGCATCAGCGGAGCGCTGTGGCGCCCGTTGGAGCAACCAATCCCTTTACAGACCCGGTTAGCCCTTACTGCATACTGTGGTGGGCTGGAGGCGTATAAGAGTGCGTGTGCACAGTTGGGCACATTGTGGAGGCGAGCGGTGAGTGGTGTGTCAGAGGAAGTATTGAGCCATTGTAGGGAAGCAGACACTTGTAGAGGCACTATCACAGCTGCACCCTTGTCTTGAGGCACGCGGGTCGCCACGCAACAATTAATCAACCAAACAAATAATTCAATGGTTGCCCTTGGAAGAGAATTATAACAGTGTCAACGAGGTTTAACAATATGTATTTCTGGCGGAGAATCACGACCTTTGACACAAGGACTCACTATGTAGAGTGCACGAGTGTAGAGTGAGGCACGGGCGCCACACTCACGCAGCTAGTGAGGGTGGCACAGCGGCGACCACACAACACTGTCATGAGCGGTGAGGAGCGGGAGTGTGTGAGGTGCGGGGGCTGCACCCGCCACCAGCCTCCTCTAACGCCCTCCTCACACCCGCCCTTGCCCATCGTCATCACCAGCCACGGTAGTCGCCATAACGAGTGATGTGGTAGTGGGTGGTGGCGGTAGTGGTGGAGATGGTGGTGGCGGTGTGGTGGCGCGTGGCGGAGTGCAGGGTGGTGGCGCTGGGCACTCCTGACCTGGAGGCGCAGGTGCCTGCTGCGGCGCCCGCGTTCCTAACCCCTCCCCCCCTCCCCCCCTCCAGGAACTCTTGGGGGAGAGGGGAGGAATTGTGCCTACGTACGGGAGGTAGGGGGGGGGGGGGCGGCACCACTGATATACTACCACCAGCAACTTTAAGACTGCGGTTGTAGATGGTCTTGTAGAGCAGTGGAGAGTAGGTAATAAGAGGCTGCACAGTAGGATGAGTGGGCCAGAGTAGCGTGGCGGCGTGCGGCAACCTGCAGCAGGAGTTCCAGCGGCGGCAGGACAGGCCACGACTCCTGCCTCCCACAGAAACTGTTCATTCAAGTGCAAACCCCCGAGCCTAACATTCACACCCACGGGAACACTGCCCAAAACTCACAGCTCCGCCTCTCGCCTTGCAGGGAGGACGAGAAGGTGGTGTGGAGGCCATGTGGCTATGGGTGCACGTGTGGAGGTGATCCCCTCCTCCAGGAACACACAGTCCTCTTCAACACTACTGTCCTTCTTAACCACCAGGACGCACATAGCACCAGACTCCTTCCTGCAGGTTCTCAACACACCAACACACATGAAAACTTCACGTGAAGCCTCTATCATTTACGGAACAGATAATGTCCAAGAGAAAGGGTGAGCCTGGAGATGAAATAAAAGGACAAGAGCTTGGTAATATAAGCAATACAAATGGAAGGTATGTGTAAAGTGGAGGGCAGGCAGCCTGGGAGGCTGGGATGAGAGCCACAACACCTGCCCTCCACACTACCCTATCCCGGACAACAAGGGAAGGAAGTCTCTTGCAAATGACAACACGTAACAAGACGAGTATAGGGAGAGGATACATTCATCTAAGGGGAAAGATGAAAGGAATAAGGGGTCGAGTAGATACAAGAGTATGGTAGATGTGGCGGACAGTAGATGACGGCTGCCTCCCCTCTCCAGGTGGTGGTGGTGGTGGTGGTGGTGCTGCTGCTGCTGCCGCAAGCCATCGATCCGCATCAACACAAAACCATCTCTCCATACACTACATCTCTCTCTCACACACACACAAAAAAGACGTCAATGCTGCCAGTCCCTTGAGACTCCAAGCCTCCAACATCTAAGAACAAACTTTACAATTAAATAAGACTTTTCTCCAGCAAAACTGAGCAGACGACACTAGGAGTTTGTTCAGCATTAAAGGCGAACTATTATATGGATAGCCAGAAAGTGAAGGTTGTACCAGTCCATAAGCGAGACACATAGACAAACACACATACTAGGGGGGGGGACTTGACGGCTGAGTGGGGGGCTTGACGGCTGAGTGGACAGCGCTTGGCCTTCGTAATCCTAAGGGTCCGTGTCCCCAGCGAAGGTGGAAACAAATGGACAGACTTTTTCACCCTGATGCACCTGTTCACCTAGCTGTAAATAGGTACCTGGGAGTTAGACAGCTGTTACTGGCTGCTTCCTGTGTGTGTGTGTGTGTGTGTGTGTGTGTGTGTGTGTGTGTGTGAGAGTGAGAGTGAGAGTGAGTGAGTGAGTGAGAGAGAGAGAGAGAGAGAGAGAGAGAGAGAGAGAGAGAGAGAGAGAGAGAGAGAGAGAAAAAAGTTAATTGTTGATTGACAGTTGAAACGCGGGCCCATAGACTTCCAAGCTCAACCTCCGCAAACACAACTAGGTGAACACACACACACACACACACACACGAAGACGAAGACGAAGACGAGGCTGGAACAAGTCCAGAGGTATGCCACTAGGCTAGTCCCAGTAATAGGAGGCATGAGTTACGAGGAGAGGCTGAGTGATATGATTTTGATTGTTGCCGCCGGGGGCGGCTAGTTTATTGTGCACCCCATACCCATTCTGTGAGCGGTAGCGCAAAAGCATCACAGAGGGCACAAAAGATCTTTATCAGACCTCATCTTAGACTATTACATAAACAATTTCTTCTATCCTTCACACCTTATAGTTACAATGTCAGCTAGTTACAGAGAAAGTGCTATTTCAAGAGCTATATATTTACAGTAAGTCATTAAACATTAATGGTAGGTCTTATCGCTAATACATAATAGTTTGAGCAATGGAGATATTACAGAGTCATAGGGGAGCTGCTGTTTATTAATAGTCTTCACAATACACTACTTGTTTCTTAATCTCATATGTCGTTTATCTACTGGATGCAGTCTTGACCCAGCCGTCGCCCTGATGGGGTCACGCCAAATATGGCGTTAGTGGGTCGTTAAAAAAAGTGAGGATACACGACCAAGAGGTGAGGATACACGACCAAGAAGTGAGGATACACGACCAAGAAGTGAGGATACACGACCAAGAGGTGAGGATACACGACCAAGAAGTGAGGATACACGACCAAGAAGTGAGGATACACGACCAAGAAGTGAGGATACACGACCAAGAAGTGAGGATACACGACCAAGAAGTGAGGATACACGACTAAGAAGTGAGGATACACGACCAAGAAGTGAGGATACACGACCAAGAAGTGAGGATACACGACCAAGAAGTGAGGATACACGACCAAGAAGTGAGGATACACGACCAAGAAGTGAGGATACACGACCAAGAAGTGAGGATACACGACCAAGAAGTGAGGATACACGACCAAGAAGTGAGGATACACGACCAAGAAGTGAGGATACACGACCAAGAAGTGAGGATACACGACCAAGAAGTGAGGATACACGACCAAGAAGTGAGGATACACGACCAAGAAGTGAGGATACACGACCAAGAAGTGAGGATACACGACCAAGAAGTGAGGATACACGACCAAGAAGTGAGGATACACGACCAAGAGGTGAGGATACACGACCAAGAAGTGAGGATACACGACCAAGAAGTGAGGATACACGACCAAGAGGTGAGGATACACGACCAAGAAGTGAGGATACACGACCAAGAAGTGAGGATACACGACCAAGAAGTGAGGATACACGACCAAGAGGTGAGGATACACGACCAAGAAGTGATCACTCAAGAAGGACTTGCTGGAATGCTCCATGGTGTCCTGCAAGGCGGTTCCAGCCTACACAGATTACACGGCTGAGTGAACTGCACCTAACGTCCTGGAAGACAGAAGAGTACGGGGGAGACATGATCACCACATACAAAATTCTCAGGGGAATTGACGGGATAGACAAAGATGGAATATTTAACACGATATTACGGACTGTTCATGCCCGTGATACCTCTTGGGTGGCTTACCCTTCATCAATCATTCAACACAGGTGGTACACGCTCAAGGGGACACACAGGTGGAAGCTGAGTACCCAAATGAGCCACAGAGACGCTAGAAAGAACGTTTTCAGTGTCAGAGCAGTTAGTAAATGGAATGCACTAAGAAGTGATGTGGTGGAGGCCGACTCCATACACAGTTTCAAAAGTAGATATGATAGAGCTCGAGAAGCTCAGGTACATCAGAAGATTGACGGATGAGAATCAACAATTATGATTCAACAATTAAAGAGCCAAAGCTCAAACCCCGCAAGCACAACTAGGTGAGCACTAGGCGAGTACTGAGTTCATGTGAAAACAAAATAAAGTAAATAAACTATAAAAATACGGGATTAAACTTGCGGCAGAATTGAGGAGACTGACAGTGAATGTGTGAGCGTGCTCACTCGCCTTCCCCTCGTCCCATCTCAAATCCTTATCGTGACCCCTTCCCAGTGCTATATAGTCGTAATGGCTTGGCGCTTTCCCCCCCTGATAATTTCTTCCCTCACCAGTGTTGCAGGAAAGGTGAATCATGGAGGATATGAACACAAATACATGATATCAAGGCTGGACAGAGAGGCAATGCACAATGAAATCACAATAATCAATGGAATCATAGAGGAAATGCTCAAAATGAGAAAGAGTAGGACTAGAGACACGCTTGGGAGCTGAAGACGGATTAGGATTACTAAGAATCAATGGTACGGACTACGAGACGAGATCCTCCACACAAATTCAATATGCTTATGAAAATAAACACAAATTCGCGACGAAAAACAGAAAGAACGCGTTACTGCATTATGTGACTAGATGGAAAGTCGAGACAACATGGCTATTACTCCACACTCTAAACAACACTAGGTGAAGGGAAAGACAACTATCAGGGGAAAGCGCCAAGCCATTACGACTATATGGAAGGGATCAGGATAAAGATTTGAGATGGGACAGGAGGATCGAATAGTGCACAATCACTAGGACGGCTGGGGATTGAACGCCGACCGGCATGAATTGAGACCGTCGCTCTACCGTCCAGTTCAAGTGGTTGGGCCACAACTAGGTGAGTACATGTACCTACACAGATGCCTCCAGGAGTGTGTACATCACATATTTCAGATCAATTCTTGAGTATGTGGAATTAGCTGGAGTCCATATCTTATTAAATACAAAACGAGGTTGAGACACAGGTGGAAACTTAAGTGCCTAAATGAGTTAAACCCATTTGAAATATTTGTTTTCAGTGTCAGAGTAGTTAACAAATGGAATACACTAAACAGTGATGTGGTGGAGACAAACTCTATACACAGTTTCAAATGTAGATATGACAGCCCAATAGGCTCAGAAACAAAGACACCAGTTGATTAAGAGTGGCGATGCGGGCCAAAAGAGCCGAAGCTCAGCCCCCAGCAAGCACAGTTAGTGGAGTAGGCACACGCAGCTAGACAAGCCTGGGAAACAATAACTTCCCAAAACCTGCTTAAGAGAGCAAGGTGTTGGGCAGGTAGCTGCTGAAACACCAGAGAACTGATCACAGCAACACAGATCACAGTGAGAGCCGAGGGGTCCCCTCGCTCTCCTCTCCGGGCTCAACCAGGCCCCCCACTGCTCCCCTCCCCTCACCCCACCACCAAACAGCCTCCCCCCCCCTTCCCCTCGCGCTGTTTCACTCACGATATTTCTCAACCGTTAAATTACTGCTTTTGAGGATTTCCAAAATGATAAATTATTTATCGGAGTCAGAAGCAATGGTGT